CTAAACCTTGGTCCTAAACCTAACCCCACACCTGTAACATGCATTTGGACCCGTGGGGACCTGACAATGGTCCCTACGATTCACTTCGGTCCCCACATGGCTGCTTTTCTTTGTAAAAAATACCCTGTGTTGTAGGAAAAACCTGTCCCCCCCCCCACACACACACACACACACACACACAGGTGGGTGTGTCTCGTCATAAACAAACTGGCACAGCAGGTAAGACCTGTGATGAACACTCTGTTCACACCAACAGATAGAAGGATCAGTTGAAAAGCTTTGAACACAGGTGTGACAGGTAAACAGGTACCTGTTCAGCAACATTCCTGTTTAAATGTCAGAGCAGAAAGTGTGGAAACTCAAACTGAAGCACAAACCAATGGAAACAGTTGATTTTACAGCTAAATTGCCAAAAAAATAAAACTAAAAAAAGAACAGAACAAATAATATACCTCATCACTGCTAGAGGAAGAGCCTCCATGTTTTTTGTGTCCCTCCTTCTTTTCCTTCTTTTCTTTCTTTTTCTTCTTGTCACCGTGGCCGTCTTTGTCCTTCGACTTGTCTTTGTCCTTCGACTTGTCTTTGTCCTTCGACTTGTCTTTGTCCTTGGACTTGTCTTTGTCATGAGACTTGTCTTTGTCATGAGACTTGTCTTTGCTGTCAGACTTCTTGTCTTTGTCGTCACTCTAAAAATGTTAAAGAAAAGTTAAAATGATGTAGCCAGAATATCACTTGCCAGTTTCTTTTAACAAGCTTTTTAAATTAAAAACCAGGTGCACGTTGCCAAAAAAAACCTTTCAGATGAGAGATAACTGTTAGTATCTGCACAGACAAGTCTAACAAAGTACATGCTCAGAACTGTCATCCCAGATCTTGCTGCGGTCGTTTCCCCTCACACCTCCTCACCTTCTTGTCCTTTGCTTTATCCTTGTTTTTGCTCCAAGGGAGGTTGAACTCATCCTTTTGGGCGTCCTCCTTCTTCACCTCCTCATCTTTACCTACAGCTGCAAAAATAAACCACAATAAATGAGAAGGGATTAAAGAAAATCTTAATGAAAGCTCTAAAGAGAAGATGCCGTTTATATTGGATTACACATATGATGATGTCTCTTTAGAGCTTTAGATTAAAACTTACCTGACGAAAGATCAAAATCCATTCTGCTGGTGTTCGTAAAGCCCCACAGCCTCCGTCGACTTGTTTCCTTCTGAAWGTTTCAGGAAATGTGTTTGAACCGCACCTAAAGCAGGAGGCAGAGCTGAGCCACGCCCACAAACACTTTCACCAGAGTGAGTCACTCCTTTCAGCTGGGAGCTACAGGCTGATTTCAGCACTTAGGCATGCACCTTCCAGAGGTGGGCGATACTGGGAATTTTGGTATTGATCTGATACCAAGTAAATACAGGGCCAGTATCGCCGATATCGATACTGATACTTTTTAAGCTTAATAATTGGAAAAGATCCAAAAGATCCAGGATAGAATTTCGCCAAACATTGTACGTGACAACAAAATACTTTATTAAAACAATCAACATTTTTGCTTGCCAACAGTAGAGCAGTAACAMAACAGTTTCCTTTAACTGTGGTGGCTGTGTTGTGGGGTGGCTGTGGTGTAGTGGTAGAACAGCCGGCTTTGGGACACGCAAGTCACAGGTTTGACTCCCCACCATGACCACATGCCATTTGTGTCCTTGGGCAAGACACTTCACCCCAATGCCTCTGACGTGTGTCCCATCAGTGTATGAATGTGGTTGGCACTGATTAGTCTCCACAGGTGATTATTTGTACACATTAGATTTGGAGAGACCTAATAGAGTGCTGTGTGAATGGGTAAATGAGGACACAGATTGTAGTGTAAAGCACGTTGAGTGTCCTGGATGGATAGAAAAGCGCTATATACAGTAAGTTACAGTCCATTTTACCATTTTTTTAACATTAGGAAAATAATTTTTTTATACAAAAATGAAATAAAAATTCTTCCCTCACCACTAGACATCTTTCCTAGTTCTTTCTTTGTTACTTTTATTGTTGCAAATTGTTCTTAGGAAAAACAAAAAATAAGGAATTTTCTTCCTTTCAATACAATTCTGTTTTATGTAAAAAAAAAAAACAGACCAAAAAATATCACTCAACACAACTTAAAATGTCCTGAGGTAGGGGGCTCAGTGAGAACGCTGAGTGGGTGGGCCAGCCTACCTGCTTAGCTTAGCTGTTTGGCTAGCACTGCTGAGCCACGTGACGGTGCAACAACAAAAGAGTGTGTGTGGGGGGTGCTGCTCCGTGCTGACTGTGACACAGTGCAGCACTACAGACAGAGAGTAGACTTTGAAAAATCCAGGTGTGCAGCAGTCAGTGTGTGCGGGAAAGACCAAAGCTTGAGTATCGATCTTTTTACACGAGTATTGATCAATATCAATACCAGCGTTGGTATCGATATTATCGATATTTGTATCGATCCGCCCATCTCCTTCAACATGGTAATACACTATATTTCCAAAAGTATTTGCTCATCTGTCTTGACATACCTCCCATACTGTATGAGTTTAAGTGTAAGCCCAATCCTAATCCATAGGGATCAATATGACTTTGGTTCATTCGTTGCAGCTAGAATCAACTCTTCTGGGAAGGCTGTCCACAAGGTTGAGGAGTGTGTTTATGGGGATTTTTGATCATATATTGCAAATACGTTTGGTCCACATTGCCGGTAGTAAGTCGGACTCATTTCCGGTGAGAGTTGGACTCTGCCAAGGTTGCCCTTTGTCACCGATTCTGTTCATTACTTTTATGGACAGAATTTCTAGGCGCAGCCAAGGTGTTGAGGGGATCCTTTTTGGTGACCTTAGGATCACATCTCAGCTTTTTGCGGATGATGTGGTCCTACTGGCTTCATCAGATCGTGATCTAAAGCTCTCGCTAGAGCGGTTTGCAGTCGAGTGTGAAGTGGCTGGGATGAGGATCAGTGCCTCCAAATCCGAGACCATGGTCTTGAGCTGGAAACCGGTAGCATGCCGCCTCTGGGTCGGGGAGGAGGTCCTGCCCCAAGTGGAGGAGTTTAAGTATCTCGGGGTCTTGTTCACAAATGAGGGAAGAATGGAGCGAGAGATCAACAGGCGGATTGGTGATGCATCTGTAGTGATGCGGCGCTGTACCGGTCTGTCGTGGTGAAGCGGGAGCTGAGCCAGAAGGCAAAGGTCTCGGTTTACCAGTCGGTCTACATTCCTACCTTCATCTATGGTCACGAACTTTGGGTAGTGAC